AAGTGAGTCTCTTGAAGATAAGATATGTATTGAATCTCTCTTTTTTTTTTTTTAAATCCATTCAGTCACTTGGTATCTTTTGATTAATGGGCTTAATCCATTTACATTTAAAATAATTACTGACAGAGACAGACTTATCACTGCCATTTTGTTTTTTCTCCATGTGTTGCAGTTTTGTTCCTCTTTTCCTCTACTGCTGCTTTCTTTTGTGTTTCACTGATTTTTTTTTTTTTTTTTTTGAGACGGAGTCTCGCTGTGTCGCCCAGGCTGGAGTGCAGTGGCCGGATCTCAGCTCACTGCAAGCTCTGCCTCCCGGGTTTTTACGCCATTCTCCTGCCTCAGCCTCCCGAGTAGCCGGGACTACAGGCGCCCGCCACCTCGCCCGGCTAGTTTTTTGTATTTTTTAGTAGAGACGGGGTTTCACCGTGTTAGCCAGGATGGTCTCGAACTCCTGACCTCGTGATCCGCCCGTCTCGGCCTCCCAAAGTGCTGGGATTACAGGCTTGAGCCACCGCGCCCGGCCTACTTGGGTTTTTTTTTTTGTAATTATATTATTTTCTTTTTTTCTGTTGATATTTTCTTTGTAGTTACCATAGGAAATTGCATAAAAATCATAAAAATAGTTGTAACAACCTATTTTAAGATAACATCAATCATATACAAAAACTCTACTTCATCTTTTCCTGCCTCTGCTTTTTGTTATTTATCTCACGAATTATATCTTTTGGATATTTTTTATCCATTAGCATGGTTTTATAGTAATAGTTTTTTTTCAGTATTTTTATTTTTGAGACAGGGTCTCACCCTGTGGCCCAAGCTAGAGTGCAGTGGCGTGAACACAGCTCACTTCAGCCTTGATCTCCTGGGCTCAGGTGATCCTCCCGCCTCAGCCTCCCAGGTAGCTGGGAGTACAGGCACATACCACCATACTTGGCTAATTTTGTTATTTCTAGTAGAGACAGGATTTTACCACATTGCCTAGGTTGGTCTCGAACTTCTGGAATCAAGCGATCTGCCTGCCTCAGCCTCCCAAAGTGCTGGATTACAGGTGTAAGCTACCGTGCCAAGCCTATTTTTAATTTTTATTATTTATTTATATTTATAATTATTGATAGTTATAATTTTACTTTCTACATTTTATTATTTCTATATTATTTACATATATATTTTTTATTTATCTTTTTATGAGACAGGGTCTCACTCTGTCACCCAGGTTGGAGTGCAGTGACATGATCATGGCTCACTGCAGCCTCAACTTTCGAGGCTCAAGTGATCCTCCCACATCAGACTACCAAATACCTGAGACCACAGGTGTGTGCCACTATGCCCAGCTAATTTTTTTTTTTAAGAGATGTTGTCTCCCTGTGTTGCCCAGGCTAGTCTCAAACACCTAAGCCCAAGCAATTCTCCTGCCTTGGCCTCCCAAAGTGCTGGGATTATAGGTGTGAGCCATCACAGTTGGCCAGCTTTTATCTTTAAATCCTATACCACAATTAAAAATGATTTATGTACCACCCATCACAGTATTATGTATATGGCTATATATTCACCTTTGTCAGAGAGCTTTTTATTTTTGTATACTTTTGTGTTGTTGACTAGCATGTTTTCATTTCAACTTAAGGATTCCCTTCAGCATTAGTTGTAAGGCAGGTCCAGAAGTGATGAGGTTTTTTGTTGTTATTGATTATCTGGGAAGCTCTTTCTTTCTCCTTTTTTTTTTTTTTTCCCTTGAGATGGAGTTTCGCTCTTGTCACCCAGGCTGAAGTGTAGTGGTGCAATCTCAGCTCACTGCAACCTCTGCCTCCCTGGGTTCAAGCAATACTCCTGCCTCAGCCTCCCAAGTATCTGGGATTACAGGTGCCCATCACCACGCCCAGCTAATTTTTTTATTTTTAGTAGAGATAGAGTTTCACCATGTTGGCCAGGCTGGCCTTGAACTCCTGACCTCAGGTGATCTGCCCACCTCGGCCTCCCAAAGTACTGGGATTACAGCCATGAGCCACCGTGCCCAGCTTCTCCTTAATTTTTGAAGCACAGGTTTGCCAGATATAGTATTCTTGGTTGACAGGTTTTTTTTTTTCTTTCCCCTTTTAGCACTTTGAATATATCAAGCACTCCCTCTGGCCTGTAATGTTTCTGCTGAGAAGCCACTGATAGTCTTCTGGGAACTCCCTTGTGTGTGATAACTTGCTTTTTCTTTGCAGTTTTCAGTATTCTTTGCCTTTGACTTTTGATGGTTTGATTATAATGTGTCTCTGTGTAGTCCTCCTTGGGTTCATCCAAATTGGAGTCCTCTGAACTTCTTGATTTTGGATGTCCATTTCCTTCCTCAGATCTGGGATGTTTTTGGCCATTATTCCTTCAAATAAGCTCTTTGCACCTTGCTCTGTCTCTCTTCTCCTTCTGACATTCCCATAAGGCATATATTGACCCACTTGATAGTATCCCGTAAGTCCTCTAGATTTTCTTCACTTTTCTTAATTTTCCTTTTGCTCTTCTGATTTGATAATTTCAAATAATTGCTCTTCAAGTTTGCTGATTCTTTCTTCTGTGTGATCAAGTCTAATGTTGAACCACTCTAGTGAGTTGTTTCAATTCAATTATTGTGCTCTCCAGCTCCAAATTTTGGTTGTTTCTCTTTATGATATTATTTTATTCATGTATTGTTTTCCTGATTTCATCACTTTTTTTTTTTTTCATAGAGACAGGGTCTCACTATGTTGCCCAGGCTGGTCTCAAACTCCTGGGCTCAAATAACCCTCCCACCTCAGCATCCCAAATTGCTGGGATTACAGGCCTGTAATTACAAATTAATCTGTAAACTGTGCCTGGCCTAGTTGTTTTTCCGTGTCTTGTAGCTCACTGAGCCTCTTTAAGATTATTATTTTGAATTCTGTGTTAGGCATCTCATAGATCTGTTTCTTTAGGGCTGGTTTCTGCAGTAGTTTGTTCCTATGTTTGAGCAATATTGCCTTTTTATTTTTTGCTGGATTTGGGCTTTTGAAAGAACAGTCAGGTCTCTCCCAATCTTTACAGACTGGCACCATACAGGGGAAGATCTTTCCCAATCAGCCCAACTAGAGATTCTGGGGCCTGTCAAATCTTTCCAGGAATGAGTCTTCTCTGGGCCGGGGTTTGGAATTTCCCAATTAAAGAGTTTTGCCTGTTTCTATTGCAGGGACTCATAATCTTTTCCTCACTCTGGTATCTATCTGCAGTACTGCAGGTTCTCTGTACTGCAACAAGTCACTGAGTGATCCTTTGTTTTCATCCAAAATATGTTGGTTCCTCATCGATGCTCCAAGTCATGTGAGACAGAAACCAATCCCTTAGACAGCCCCCCAAAAGGTAGAACAGTGGACAAACATTCCATTTTTCTTTTTCCCTCCAAGGGAGAAGCCACAAATTAGGCATTTTCTCCTGCTCACCTGAGGCTGGCTTGAGGAAAGGAGTATCTTAGGTGAACTGCAATGGCTTTTCTTACCCCTGTAAATGCAGCTATTCTTGGATTTGTACCTCTCCGGGGCACTACAATTTCTTAAGTGCTTGCTGGAGTTTTCATAAAGGCTTTTGGACCATATATTGTTAAGTTAGTGTCTCAAGGTTACAAAGTCTGGAGCTTCCTATTTCTTCATCTTACTGATGCCACTGTCAATGATACCACTGTCTGAGACAGCTGTCAATTTTTATTGCTATTAGATGTGAGTGCATTCCTTTCCTATGATACACCCACTCTTTCTAGTTTGCTATTTCAAATCTGCAGACTTGAGAAACCAGATAACTTGGCTTTTTAAGAAGGTTATGACTTATAAACATAAATGGTTTATAAAAACAAAACTGTTCATTCAGGGTACAAATTTAAACAATAAAACAAAAAGGAACAGAACTGAGAAACTAAGGATGAAGATTTCAGACCACTATTTTCAGAGGTCCACTTACTGTTGGTGCTGGATGTGTTTCCTTGGCCCAAGATTAACAAAGTCAGACTTCTGAATACATAAGGTATACTTTCATTGCTATATGACAGCCTTATATTTGTTCTGTATTTCTGTAAAAACCAGTGTCTTAAAGCTCTGGATTTTGCTTCTAAGCAACACAAGTCACACTCTATTTAAGCCTTCTCTCCTGGTTGAAAGAGCACTTTCTCTTAGTGCCTGATCCTTCGAAATATAAAATGCCACCTGCAAGTTTCATGTATTGTTTCCTCACCAGTCATATTGAGTACCACCAATAGGTTTATGCATCCTTATCAGTAAGCCAATCGATAAATTCACTGAGCAGCCTGCCTCCTTGGACATATGCTGTATCTATAAACATGTTTAATTCAAATCTGGTCCCACCATCCAGGAATTAATCTAACTTCAGAAAAAAACTAAGAAGTAGAGTGAGGAGGTGACATATACTCCCAGAGTGACCTGGAGTTGCAGAATTCTGGAGCCTAATTATAGGTACATGCTTCACACACATTTCCTATTTAAGTGTCTGAAGCCATATTGATATCAGAATCAAGACTGGACTGAGAGCTTTTCTGCAAATCAATATTCCTGGTTTCAAGGAAGTCATTGGCACAGGACCTGTGAAGGCCTGGGTAGCCTTCCTGTAAGGGAGCATTCCACTATTACCTCAGCCCCAAAAGAAAGAACTGATTCCACTTGCACTCCTTGCCAATAGATAAGGAATGGCTAGACATTAGCAACTGTGGAGGGCAAGCTGGTGGTAATGATGAGTGAGTGAATGGATGAACAAATGATCATTTAATCAATCCATCCACTAAAAGGTAATCACTACTAGTTCATGCTTTATTATGTAACCACAGCTAGGGGACCCTGGTATAGATTTTCCCGTCCTTTCAGACCAGGAGTCATTGACTCTGGGTTGGAAAAGATAGGATGACAATCCACCAGCCAAACTTACCCTCCGATATAAAAAAAATGTAAGACATTTGAATTCTCAGCAGTGAGATTCTTGTCCAACTTCCTCAATTTGGATACTCAGCTTACCTCAAATTATATAATAGTTTGCAGAAGAAGGTTGCATGGGCACAAGCTTCTATCATCAGTCCCCGAGAACGGCCCTGCAAATACAGCCAGATACGATCTTCCTCTGGAACCCCATACTCAAACTGCAGGGACTCAAGGTCCTGGAGCATGTCCATTTCCAAGCCACTATTTCCTGCAGTGATAGATACTAATCAGTTTGGCTCCCTGTCCTGGTAGAAGAAGGGTCTATGTAGGAGGTGTGTGTATGATGGTATGTGTGCCCAGGTCACAAGCACTCACGCTGGTGGGCTTCAGCAACTCTCTACTCCCAAATTCTGAACTTGGAATTCACCTCTCTTGAATTCACACTCTAGAGTGTGAGTGTTTGAGAATTCCTAATCACTGGCTGCCCATGAATCCTGGACTCATGAAAAATCTGTACAGAAACCCAAAGTGTTGTTTCTCCACACGGGTTACAGGCACTGTTTTTGGCAGATGAATTTACAACAGCAATTGAGTTTTACAGGTATTCTTGAGCCAGGACGTTTTCCCTTCCATTCCCTCCTGCGTTTTGGAAATAGGACTGAACACATAGAACCACATTTCAAAGAAATGCTTCCCTTTCACTGAACTCTGTTCTCCACAGCGTAGAAAAGAACCCAAACTAAATATCACTGTCCTCTGTCTAGGACAGGGACATCTAGATTTTATAAACTAAACTCAAAGTCATATAAACCCATCTACATATATCTATCACCAAACAGAGAAGATTGGCTCTGCTCCTCAGTACTTCTGATCCTGGAGGGTAAGAACTACATTTCTAAGGAGAATTACCCAAGAAACTTGTGATTATGACTCCTTAACTACCAGATTACAGTCTCTGAGTCTTAAAGGGGCCAGCCCCACTTAGAGGTTTTCCTGAGCTGAATATCAGGACATGAGTCCCTTCCACTACTTCTAGGAGTACCACACTAGAGCAGTATGAGACCCTCCTTTTCCCAAAAGAAGATTCTGGATTTCTAGGTTTTTTTTTGCAGACTAGAATATCCTACAGATCTTAGCACTACTTGAGTTAGTTTACAACTCCTTTTTGTGTTCAAGAAACCAATAAAAATTTTTTCAGGTGAAACCCACATAACATAAAATTAGCCATTTTAAAGTGAACAATTCATCAATACATTCAGAATGTTGTGCCACCACCTCTATGTAGTTCCAAAATACTTTCATATTCCCAAAAGGAAAGCCTACACCCATCAAGCAGTTACTCCATATCCCTCCCCACCCTCAGCCTCTGGAACCACCAGTCTGCTTTCTGTCTGGATGGATTTACCTATTCCAGATATTTTATATAAATGGAATCATACAGTATGTGACCTTTTGTGTCTGGCTTCTCTAATCCCTTTTATAGGAAGGCTGTTATGTGACATAATCTCTTTAAAAGCAAAGTCTCACCCCGGCACAGTGGCTCATGCCTATAATCCCAGTACTTTGGGAGACTGAAAGAGGTGGATCACTTGAGGTCAGGAGTTCGAGACCAGCCTGGTCAACACGGTGAAACCCCGTCTCTACTAAAAATACAAAAATTAGCCAGGTGTGATAGCACATGCCTGTAATCTTGGCTACTCAGGAGGCTGCGGCAGGAGAACTGCGTGAACCTAGGAGGTGGAGGTTGGTTGCACTGAGCAGAGATTGTGCCACTGCACTCCAGCCTCAGCGACAGAACGAGACACCATCTCAAAAAAAAAAAAAGTAACATAAAACAAAAGCAAAGCCTCTACACTTGAAATGTGGGGCATGGAAGTTCTCATCAAACCCAAGAAACACTTCCTTACACCAAAACAGTCAGTAGGTCATCCTAATGTTGCCAAGTAATGCTTCCTGCTCCAAAGGAAAAAGAAGCTCAAAACCTCCTAGATCAGTATGACCAATGCAGCATACAAGTTGTACAGACATGAATTCTAGGCCTATCCTTTACTTATGCATTCTCAAAAGTAGGCATCAGTTGTTACTGTTTTGTATCATGTCACCTTGGCTAGGCTGAACTGCAATTTCCAGAATTCCCTTCCCTGTATGTTTCTGGTTAAGGTGGACCACCGGAGATATTTCTGTGCAAGACCAGGAGGGTGGAAATGAACAGTAACCAACTTGTGTTTCAGTGTGCATAATCAGAGGAAGTACTTTTGTAGTTCACACATGTTGCTGTTTATCTGCTGGGTACCTTGCTGGTGAGGGGCAACAGTTGGACCTGTAACTGCTACATCTTCCCTGGTTCCTCCTTCAGTTGCTCACTCCTGGGCTGGGTGTTTTTCGGTTCCATGACAAAGGCCACTAGCTTTTCCAGCAGCAGGACACCCACTTCATGAAGGTTGGGGGCTGTGAGAACTGACATGGGTCCTAGTCCCTGCTCACTCACTTTATAATGATCTTCCCTTGTTCAAGGCCTTCCCTATGGATTTCAAGCTCTACCACTGGACATGAAGACAACTACCTTAATCAGACCCTCCAGCTGCCATACTTGAGTGGAAGTACTCAAACAGAAAAGACAGGCTCTACTCCTCAGTACTTCTCATCCAATTTCTCTAACAGGTCAGAGAAAGGTCAAATGTCTCTAACAAACTGCATATATAGATTAGATTAGATAATGCATATATATGCCCAATGGTTCTGCTTCTCTAAATGAACCCTAACCAATATACTAGGTAATAAAGTAACCACTATTTGTTTGAAGATGAACCAATAATTTTAGTACAATCTAGTAAATTAAACTCTTGTTTCTTCAATAGCAGGAAGGATGATCAAGAAAGGAACTAAACATGAGGTTACCTGGAATTGCAAAGTGGAGAAGCAAAAGCTGGAGTCTGATCCCCTTAAAGCAGAGTTTCTTAACACTGGTGTTACTAACATTTGGGCAGGATAATTCTTTGTTGTGGGGTGTCCCGTGGATTGTAGGACATTTAGCAGCATCCCTGACCTCTACCCACTGGATGCCAGTAGCACTCCTAGTGTGGCAACAGAAAGCAACTTCGAACATTGCCAAATGTCTCTTGAGGGGCAAAACTGCCTCCAGTTGAGAACCATATTGCCTTAAAGCATGGTATGCGCCTCTGTAAGAGCATCTTCTCTTTTCTTTCTGTGACTTCACCCACTCCACAGTCACAGGAGCACAGAACTCTACAAAATGTTAGCTGGGTGTGGTGGCACATGCCTGTAGTCCCAGCTCCTCAGGAGGCTGAAGCAGGAAGATTGCTTGAATCTGGGATGTCAAGGCTGCAGTGAGCCATGAGGGTGACAGAGCAAGACCATGTCTATTTAAAAACAGGCCGGGTGTGGTGGCTCATGCCTGTAATCCCAACACTTTGGGAGGCCAAGGCAGGAGGATCACCTGAGGTCAGGAGTTCAATACCAGCCTGGCCAACATGGTGAAACCCCGTCTCTACTAAAAATACAAAAATTAGTTGGGCGTGGTGGCAGGCACCTGTAATCCCAGCTACTCGGGAGGCTGAGGCAGGAGAATCATCTGAACCTGGGAGGTGGAGGTTGCAGTGAGCTGAGAGCGCCACTGCACTCCAGCCTGGGTGACAGAGCGAGACTCCGTCTCACAAACAAACAAACTCTATAAAATTTTAGATTATCTAATGAATCCAGAGAAAGAAAGGGACTCACCCAGCATCACATAACTAGTTAGTGGTAGAGTTGGAAAAAGTCAGGCTTCTGTTAACCACATAGCCCTGCTTTGCCATAGCACTGTTACCCTATAACCTGACATGTGCTGACAGGCTGCTGAATGCAGTCATTGAGGAAGACTTGTAATAATCCTAAGATCCTGAGCAATTATTTCATAATTCTGCACAAAACCACCAGGAGCAGGAGAGAAGGCACCAAGGAAGAAATACTTTTATTAGGAGTCTACGCATGTCAGAAAAACCCAGTTCAGTCACAGAAAAGGAGGCAAATATTGGTACAAAGGAAGAATCCAAGTGTGAAAATAAAACCTCCATCTAAATATCCTAACAGAAATGCTGCTGAGTTTAGCCCAGGTGAAACTTTTGAAAGCTCCTGGTGAAATGAGATTTTTGCATAAAGAGAGCGCTCTCCAGCACTGCTGCATCTGAGCTTCTTAGAAAGTGACAGGTCTGGGCTAGCAGTAGAGGAAGAGATAAAGGGGATGTCTCATCACCCAAGCAAGGTCATCTGTGTTCAAGTGAGAGAAGAACCTTAGGGTTTTGGACAGAGTAAACTGGGCAGCAGAGGGGAAATGGCTGAGGAAACACAACGTCTAGGCAATGTGTGGCATAATGTGGAGGGGTCTGTGCAGTCTGGTGTGAGTGCATCTCCAGCAGGTCTTGGGAAACACTGGCATTCCTTCCTGAGGCCATTTTGGTTCTGTTCTGACTTCATTCAGAGCAGAACTGCCAATGTCCAGCACCAAGTCCTGGATCATAATTAGCTGAGTGGAATGGAGTGGTCACCCTATGACACCTGTACTTCTTCCTTTCTGGAGCAGTCACTTTTCTCAGACCAAGTGAGATCTTACCCAGTAGGGGCCCAATCTAGAAATCACTCCCACCTTCATATGAGCACCAGGTGAAGAGAATCATTCTCATGAGTCAAAGCTTTAGATCTCAATCCTCAGATGATGTTCCTTGGACAGAAGTTCAGTCAGAAGTTATCTGTGTCAAGAGTAGCTGGCACTGCCTGTTGATAATGGGCTCAAGCGATGTGATACTGCAGCTCTCTCAAAGAGGAGCTCTCTCTACTTTCACAGGCAGGAAAGGAGGAAATGAGGCAGGTTTCAGGGTAGTCAATGCCACTTAATTCTTCCATCGAATTTGCTGTGGAAAGAGGAAACAATGAAGGTGTATGATCAGTTTTCACTTATCCCTATAGCAAGGCAGAGAAAATGCAACAAAACAAGGCCCATAGCTAGATAATGTAAGGAAAAGAAAAAGTAGAATCAGATCGGGAGGTAGAGGATGTTGAGAAATTTTTAAAAATATGTGGGGGAGTTCATTTATTCAAAGATGCATTAAACACCTATTTTGTATTTTACAAGCCTAATTTTGGTCATTTGACTCTAAGGTAGGTCCCAAAATACCTAACAGGGAACTAACTTTCATATTAACAAAAAGCTCAGTAATTTCATGCTGTGAGAGATGAACCAGCTGTGCTCCCCAGATAGTTAACATCTATTTCACCCACTTCTTATTTTCAACAGGTAGGTCCCATCCATCCCCATGAGACCATACAGTTTGGATATTCTGAATCTGAAACATGTTTTCATACTTTCAATATTTAGTTTCTCCTACCTGCTAGGTTTAACTATTATCAGAGTATTACAGTTGAGTCTTAGCTTGAGGTCCCCAGATTACCCCCCTATCATACCGCATCTTAGGAGTAATTTCTGCTATTCAAAGCAGTGCTTTTGACATTGTGGCCAGAGGAGAGCCTTACATCCATGTGGATTAGCCAACTGCAATCCTTCCAGGCCTTGGGAACATATACTTGGTACTGTTTTGTGAACTGTCTCCTGAGCCTGCTGGAGGGATAAACTGTAGCTGCTCACCGAGCTGCTGAGAAGAGCATCAATCTTCTCCTCCTCTGCTGATCCTTTATCTACCTTACTCCTGTATGCTAGCAACTGTTGACGATCCTTCAGGTCCCGGCAGGTCTGTGCATCAAAACAAACAATACGAACCTCCAATCAGCCTTCTGTACAGGGTTCTTTTTGCCCAGGATGGTCTCAAACTCCTGGGCTCAAGCAATCCTCTCTCCTCAGGCTCCTGAGTAGCTGGAACTACAGGTGTGTGCTACTGTGCCCACATGAGGGCTTATTTCTTTTTGTCATTATCACTTTGACCCAAGGCTCAAAGAGAGGCTGAGAGGCTATAGTGGGATGACAGTGGGGTCCAATGCCTACAGAACTCCATGTTGGAGAGAAGACTACACAGCTTATGTAGCTTGATTTAGTTCTATGAATTCTCTAAGTATGACAAGTTTATAAAAACACAGAGAAACTAGTCAGAGGGCTGGGAAAATAACACAGGAATGCTGGTCTCCAAACGAACTCTTGCCAGATTATTCTGTTCATTCAGTCAAAACTGGTGGTAGCACCTCAGGATCTTGAACAGAGAATATTATAATCCCCACCACTGCACCCCCGCCACTGAGGATCTAACGGAGGACTCCCATTTCTTGGGGACTCACATCAATGACGACATCATGGCACTTGAACTTAGTGGCTAAGTTCAACTTTGTGTCCACATCTTCCACCAGATTGACATACTCCTGTAATATCTGTGCGAAGAGGTACTTCCGATTAATGATTCAAAGACCCATAAGGCACAGAGCTATACAAGGTACAAAAGAAAGTCCTGAAGACGGCAAAAGAGTTCAACAGCGATACAATTCCCGTCATCAACCAAAGGACTAGTTCTGCAATGGGAATGAGGTAATGCTACATAGTACTTCCATGCTGCCTCAGTAAGCAGGAAAGAGCGCACTTCTCCTGATCCTAGAGCCAGATACACACGCCAGCAATGACAGTGCTCTAGATCTGATCCAGTGCTCTGCTCCTTTTTCCCTGATGTCTTTTCTCCACGAGTTCTGCTTCTCTATCATTTGAACGGTACCTCAATATTCCACTTGGGCTAACATAGTAGATGCTACTCAGAGAGGACAGTTTGGAATTGTTTCTAAAGGGGAGAAAGGGAGAGAATTTCAATCCCTGGCCTTTTCTATCTTGAGGCCTATTGCAACCATTGTGCTGCCTTTAAAGGAAAACAAGGGCAGATCGGGTTTCCCATCACTGACCAGTAAGAGGCTTAAAGTTAGGTATCCGAGAATATCCTGTACCCAACTCTCTTTAGGAACCATTACCTGCACAGGGGCATTGTTCTTGTGCAAAATTTCGACAACCCGATGGAAGCCAATGGGTGCTCTCTTCTTGGTATAGCCCAGCCAGTTCTGAAAGAGGAAGATGGGGCAGCGGTAGGTAGGCCAGGCACACTCAACACATTCTAGGCTAGTCTATGTTTTATGATCAGACCAGAATAATGTGGTGGGTGGGTGGAGGTGCTGAAGGATACAGAAATAATGAGAAATGAATTTTTCAGAAAAATCAAGTGATTTGAGAAAGTAGAAATGAATCAGGTTTGAAATAACTTCTTAGATCTATAGAAATGAATGCAGGGAAAAGTCTTGAAATACTACTAAATGGGGTAAGTAACTTACTTAATATTTGTAGTATGAACTTATCAATGTAGAAAATAATTCCATCTTCCATATCTTTATAAGTATAGATGTTTATTTGCAAATTCATGAGGGAAGGTCTAAACTTTTAACAGTGTTTGCCTTGAGAAAGGGGGTGAGATAGGAGTAGGTAGAAAATGAAAAAGGAACTTCACTCTTTCTATACTTTAATACAGTGTTTGATTTTGACAACAGAAATGTATTGCTTTGTTAATACAACTAATTACATAATTAACAAATGGGAAAAACAGAAAAAATTTCAAACCTACAATGGAAAAACAGATATTAAAAATGTAAACCAATTCATATGGAATCACCAAAGATCCCGCATAGCCAAA